TTCAATCGCCTATTGATGGGCACTTAGGTTGGGAAGCGTCCTTTTCTGTTCAATTTTACATGACCTCTAATTTGGATTCTGATTATATTTGCTGCCTTGTCACTTACTTATTATTTATCACATGACATTTTCTATTAGAAATTACTGTATCAGTCCCATCTTCCCAACCAGATTGTTGGCCCCCTGAGGGGAAGGACTATGGTTCACATTGAATGTTTGGTTTGGTCTCTATCGGGAGTTCCATTTTTTGTGCTGTTTTAAACAAGGGGCAGGCCCCCCACTTTGCATCAGATAACTCCATTTCTGTTCACTGGAGCATCCTGCTTTCCTTGAAAAACAGGTTTCCCCTTGGTTCCACCTGAGATCATCTGACCTGTAAGGGTCCTTGATACCCCTTTGCCTTCTAGAGCTTTTCACACAACAGTAATTTTCAGACAAGAGCTTCTGTAGTTAATCCTGGAAGCTAAGGCACAGAGCAGACCAAGCAGGGTCAGGAAGCAGCCCCAGCACACACCCAGCAGAACCCTCATTTACACGTCATCACCCCACTCCTGCTCCCCCAGGTATCAACTGGTCTGTATCCAGCAGCAGGTCTGTCTCCTTCACCTCAGGGTGACGGCCAGCGGCGGATACACCAGGCCTGGCGCTGGTTGCAGCTCTGTGAGGCGACTGGACCAGAGGAGCCCTAAGATCCCTTCCAGCTCTAATATTCTCAGCTCTAATATTCTCTAATAGTCACTTACATCTGCCTCCGGTGATTGCCAGAAACAACCTAAGGCTTGAGCCAGGTTACATCTGGATATAAAGGACTTGAGGGTCCCTTTTTAGCTGAAGCCACCAAATAGCTGTCCTGACCACAGGGGTGTCTTGGCATCGTTACCAGCTATTAGAAAGAGCCCACATTTATTGGGTGCTTGTTATATGCCAGGCATTGTTCTAAGCACTTAATGAGTATTATAGAACTTAATCTTCACTGCAGCCCTGGTGGGGTGAGTACTATCATTATGCCCATTTAAAAAGTGAAGACACTGAGGTACAGAACGCTTCAGTAACTTGCCTTTGTCCTACAATAGAAAGGGGAGGAGCCTGGCTGGTAGAGACCATCGGTTCCAAGCCCCTCCCACTTCCGTCAGTTCTCAGCAGCCCCCTTCCTCTGGGAGTCGGGAAGCACTGCTGAGGGATCTGAAATCCACAGGCAATATTCCATGTCTAAGACATTCCTTGTCTCAGACACTTTGGGGGAAGGGAGACTCTAAGTAGCTGATTTGGAGCCAGAGGACAGCTTTCTCCTGGGGTCCCTGGGGTTTCCGAGAGGAAAGCAGGGGCTTACCTAGATCAGTTTCACAGGGTTTGTTCACAGGAAGATGATTTTATTGACAGAAGTCTTATTTTGTCTTGTATACCACATGCAGCTGGGGGTGGACAGCATACACCCCATCTAAGATTTTCATGAACTGCTCGGACACCAGCACATTCTGAGGGAGGAAGAGAGGGCACCCAGCATGAGGAAGGCATTGCCATTGTGCCATCTCCCTGCCCAGACCAGCAGCCTGCACAAGCCACAGTCAGGGCATTCTGTCTTTTCCAGGGTTGCTCTGATCCTGGGGAAGGTCACCTTTTTTTAGAGCTTGTGGTTTGAATTGTACGTTTCCCATGTGATTGATCAGATGTTTTAGTTGAGTGCTGAGGGCTTGTCACATGCTGTCATCTCAGCTCCACTCTTGGATGGCAAGCATGTCTGTGCATGACAGATGGGACCCAGCTACAGGGTTGCAAGACTGGTCTCAAAATCAGAGCCATGGAAACGTCCATTTCTAAACCAGTGTTGGTCTTCAAAGCAGGTGCCCTGGAAGAGGATTTCTCATCCCAACCATCCAGTCATGGCTCAAAATTCATTGGGAACTCCCCTTTCTGAAGTGTCCTCAGAGCTGGGTTATAGGCCGTAGGAGAAAACGTGTTTCGTGAAATAGCATTTGATCAAACCTGGCCTCCACAGTTTTGGTCAACCTGCTTCACACCTCAGGTGTGGTTCTGGGGATCTTTTGTCTTTCAAAGAATTAAACCCATGCTTAAGGGCTGAAAACTTCCCCTTCCCCTTTGTAGATATTCTAAAGAAAGTTCTAAAAGCATCTGTGACAAAGTAACTCCAGCATAGTTAATGGCAGCATAGTTGACAAAAGGGAAGGAAAAGGCTAATTCAGGCCTATTTGTTCTGCTAGGTTTGTTAAATGGCAGTGTGACCCTAGCTCGTGAATTTATATACCATCTGCGGCCTAAACTGCACCATTTCTAACGTCCCTTTAGACACACCAAAGCAGTGCCTGGGTCCATACCTTACAACCAGCTCTGGGGGGTGAGGGTGGGGCAAGTCCCCACAAAATCTGGACCTGTGACTAAGATTCAGAGGCAGGGTGGGGTGGGAGCTATGACAGCATTGTGGGGTACAAGGTCAGGGCTATAGGATGAGGGTGGATGAAGACCCCCAATTAGAAAGACCCAGGAGCACAAGGAGCCTGGGACAGAAAGGAAAGGGTGAGGGGCACAAAGTGAAAAGGAAAGCAGGCATGTGTTTATAATGTTTTATAACCTGTGGCAAACGTAAGTCCAAATTTTACTTAGTATTCAGTTCCAAGGAGCTTGGGTTTAACTATTGAAAATACCATCACTGATCTAATTGCAAGGCATTAAAACCTTAGCAAAATATCATATTTGTGTGGCATTAAAAAAAATATAAGAGGGCTTTAACGCTGTACCTTTTAGAACACTAGAGCGGGGAGGCAGACACCCTAGGTTCACTCCTTGCTGTGTTTTTCACTTGCTGTGTGGTCCTGGACAAGTGACCTGAGCTCTCTGTTTCAGTTTCCTTATACGTAAAATGGGAAAAGGAGGAAAAGCTCTTGTTATGGAATCCTCACCAAAAAAAGCTGTTGAAGCACTAACCCTCAGTACCGGTAAATGTTACCTTATTTGGATTGAGTTGAGATGGGGCCATTAGGGTGAATCCTAATCCAGCATGACGGGTGTCTTTATAAAAAGGGATGTTTGGATACAGAGACAGACATCACACAGGCAGAGTGCCACGTGACCCTGGAGGCAGAGATTGGGGTGATGCATCTACTAGCCGACAATTGCCAACCACCAGCAGGCATTAGGAGACAGACAAAGAACAGATTCTCCCTCACAGTCCTCAGAAGAAACCAACCCTGCCAACATCTTGATCTTGGACTTTTAGTACCAGAACTATTAGACAACACATTTCTATTGTTTAAGGCACCCAGTTTGTTGTACTTGGCTATGGCAGCCCCTGGACATGAATACACTCTACCTACCTCCCAGAGTAGGGTCAAGTGGGCTGACATATATAAAATCACTTTGGAGAAAAAAAAAAGAGTATAAAATTGTAGACAACCATAGGAAATAGTTACTATCAGCTACCACCTTTAGGATGATTCAGGCAAGAGTACCCGGCAGAGTGCAGGCCCTTCCTCAGGCTTTTCTCGCCCATTAAGGGATTTTTACCCTCAAATACTACTCTGAGTAGGCCACGTTATGAAATGAAAATGAAAGCTTGTCAATGTTTANCAGCTTGAGAGTGCCTAAAAGTTGAGTGGGGAGTGGTCTCAGAATCACCAGGGCAGAACCAATGGTGTTAGCCAATTTGATGGATACTCAGATATGGCGGCTGCCTGTGTCTGCACGAGGGAAGAGGAAGGGTTCAACAAAGAAAAAATGGCTTCTACCAGCTCCTCTGTCTGGGAGAAAGCTGCCCCTCCAGCCCTCATCCTGAGGCCAGACAACTCAGCTCCTCCTGTATGTCCCTGACGCCTTTCAAGCTGCTGCCCCAGCACTGGAGCTTGGAGCAAGTGAGTCCATCGGTGAGTAAGTAAGGCAATTCCTTTAAGAGGAGCGCCTGGGGCTCCAGCCTCTCTTGTCTTGCCCAGCCACAATCTCCACTGGTTTTCACAGCCAGAAATTATGGGGACTTCTCTCCCCGGTATTGGAACCCTGGGCTGGGGAGCCTGGTGCGGTGCTGGGACCCCTTGCTTCTCCTGGGGGGACCTCAGCAGGTTCTTCAAACAGGGGCTGAGTACTGTGGCAGATACCATGGTGAGCCCTCAACACCCACTCCAGTTCCTTCATAGCATGCCTCTCTATGAAGCAGAGGCCAGTAAGCTAAAAATGGACATTCCCAAGCCCCTTTGCAGCTAGGGGTTGGAATGGTATGGGCTTCGCCAAGCACTTGGGTGAAACCTATGTGTGAGAGGTCTGATTTGGAGACAGCAGGCTGTGGGCAGCTGTGGGGTAGCTTTCTGTTTTAGTGGGTGATTCCTGGTTGGGCAGCTTCCTGATTTTGGCAGAAGCAGCGGGCATCCTGGCAACCTAGTTGGAGTGTCTGGGGAGCCATTTCTGGAATCTAAACCAAGAGTCTGTTTCTTCAGCCCTCGCAATGTTTCTGTGGTTTATCTCTGGTAATATATCCCTCCTTGCTTAACCTAGTTAGAGCGGAGTGGTCAGCAACTAAGAAACTTTTTTTTTT